CTGGGGGAGGGGACCATAATGCTTTAAAAAAGATTTATTTATTCTTTTGAGAGTAGCAAGTAAATGTATATATTTTATAATCATGTTTAAAATACATCTATGAAAAGATGATACTGAATTCAGAGTTTATACAGATCTCACTGCAATTCCTGTGATTCACAGAGTGTAGCTGATGTTTCTGATAAATTCCTCAAACTGAGGAAACAAACAGAACTTAAAAGACAGACTCTTTTAAATCTTCTGCTGCTACCCTGGTCATACCATGAAGCATGCCAAGCATTTGGCCTCAGTGTGCTTTATCTTCTGGAGTGCAAGCTGTTACCGGCAGAATCTCTCACCTCCTTAGCATAAGCCAGCGAGCTCAGAAAAAAATAGAATCTGCAGCTGCCAGGTCTCTTGAACACTGTAATTGTTCAAACCAGGCTGCTATTATTCCAGATTATACAGTCCCACCACCTTCGCCACCTGCAGCAGATTGTCGGGACAGATGTTTACATTCAGATGTTTAAAAGTAGGAACAACCATCTGAATAGGGTTGATTTTTCTTGCTCTTTCTTGTTTTTGGTTTACCTTCTGTCCTTTGAGTCTGGATTTCCCCAAGGAAAGGCCAAAGCTTCTATAACAGCACCCTCCAGACAGGGCCAGATCAAGGCCATGATGGGCCTAGGAGCTAGCCAGCTGCAGAGGGGGCCTCAGAACTGAACTCATACCTGACCTTTGTACATATACACACAAAGAAAGCCATGCAAAGTAGTCCTTTGTTGTTAATGATGACCTAGACATGGGTGACCTAATGATTTCACCATCACCAGGCCTCTCCAAACTCCACTTTGAAGCTTGGATTGCCCCACTTCCTCTGTTTGACTGCATTCTGTGTTTTGTTTCATGTGAAGGGGAAAAGTACACTTTAGACAGGAAAATGTATTTATCTGTATACCCAAATTCTCATTCTAACTCCATAGTGAGAATATGTGTGTTCTAAGGTACACATTTTAAGTGCAAATACTTGGGATACAACTTAAGAACATGAGAAAAGCCCTGTAAGGCCAGACCAAAGGTCCATCTAGTCCATACACATGGTGGCAACCAGCTGCCCACAGTGTCACTGGTATCCCCTTACCTCAGTCGTCTGTCCAATCCCCTTTTAAAACCACCCAGATTGGCAGCCATTGCTACTTCCTGTGGTAGCAATGCCATATGCGCTGTGTGAAGACGTACTTCCTTTTATCTGTCCTAAACCTCCACCAATCAGCCTCCTGAGATCACCCCAATTTTGAGTGTTATGGGAGAGGGAGAAAAATGTCTGCCTCACCACTTTCTGCACTCCATGCATTATTTTAAACTCCACTATCATGCCTCCCCTTCCTCACAAAACTGCACCTGAAAAAAGCACTCATGTTCATGTTTGGACATACAAACAGGACAAGCTCGAGTCCAAAGCAACCCCAAACAAAATTCCTTATATTGCAATTATATCCATAGTTTTAGAAGTCAGGGATGACTGGCAGCTGCTTTCCAGGGTTCCAAGCAGGAATTTATCCAGCCAGGGAACAATCCTGGAACCTCCTCCTTGTAAAGAACAAGCTCTAGAATGGAGCAATGGCCTACCCCTATTCTTATGTCTTTGGCTATTCTCCTGGTACAGCTATCTGCAATTATTATCATTCCTTCCCTGCTATTATTGTCTTTCTACTTTTTTCCTAGTCACGTCACTCATTGTCTTCTCTGCTTTACTGAACAGTTATGTTTATTTATAAAACTATGCTTTGGAAGAAACCCAAAATAATGTTTAAGAAAACAACTTAGAGCTATTTAGTGTGATAAGACTATGGTATTCAATGTTATTAAGTGCCAACTCAGTTAACAAGATTTACATATTTTCCATTACAAATAAATCAAACTCTCCCCTACCTTGACACAGCACAGTTAAGTCTAGGAATGCTGTTTGTTTCTATATTCTTCCTGTTTTGGCATTCGTAGCTTTTCATTGGTTAGATTTCTTCTTACGCATGGTTTACCATTCCATGCCTACTAATTCCATATGATCTCTCACACTGGAATAAGAGCTACAGACATCTCCCATGGTTTTCCCAGAATGTTTTTGCAGACACTGGCCTGATTTCTACTATAACGGACAATATGCAGTAGAAGATAATCAAACAGATAAAGCCTATAATTTGGTATGGATTTAACAATTCCATTTAATCTACAGAAAAATAAAGTTGCAATCATTGTATTACATTTGGATGTCTCATCCCATCGATTCATGGTCAAAATGGCCATGGATCACCAAGGCCAACGAATCAAGCAACTCTGCTAACCCTTACATGCCTCTCTTGGCACTCTGCAGAGAGTAGTGCCGGGCTGCTATTTGGCTACAGATCCTGGGACCCCTTTGATAGGGTGACAGTTGTTGGAGCCACGTTTGCCATTTTTATGTCTAGATGCATAAGCTTGTCAACTGTTCTTGCCACTGTCTCTCTGAGTTTGCTTCTCAGACCAAACCCAATCCAAAATAACTGAGTACTTCAGGGTTCCTTTCCAATGTCAACAAGCCTCTAGAACCCTTTTCCAGAACCAACTCTCCGAAACATAACCAGAGAAGAGCAAAACAGAGGAAGCTGGAATGTTTGAATAAATGTTGAAGGATTGAGTATGTTTAGCCTAGAAGAAAAACACACACATTCCAAATAACACACAGTTACTATAAGGTATTTCAGAATTGGAAACATGATCCCCAGGTTCATTTCTCCAACAATTTTCTGCATTTAATTTGAATGTTTATTTTATATATCCTTATTTCCATGTGATTTAATGTGTGAATGAAAAGATTCAAGTGTAAAGTGGCAGAAAAGAAAATAACAAACGAAACTCAAAGTTCTACATGCTTTCTATTACTGAAAGAAACAATAGCCAGTTTGTCTTTGGCACCAATATTATCCACTGCTATTTTATTCTCAAGAAAAAAACCTATTGTATTGCTGTGTTATGTAGTAAAAGAGAATTTTCCAAGTACACAGTGACCTGATTTACACAATTAAAATAAACCGTGGTGACTGATTTAAATCACACTGCATGCCGGTGCATTTTCCATTGTCACCACCGGGGTGCAACTTCTCCTTTCATCTAAACCCAGGCAGCATGGCTTGTTGGAGAAAAACCAGTCCCACAAACACCCACAGGTTAGTTTAGAATTGATCTCCCTTCCAAGGGGCTATGCTGCTTCGGTTTGGACAACATATCAAGCCATGCCCAGGTACTGATTGTAGAAATTACACAGTGTATGTACCCATCACATACTGCAACTGAAATAAGCCACTGTGTCTTATTTTGATCATGCAACCCAGTCCAATATGAATCAACAGTAACAAGGCACACTTCAGTAAGCTTCACCCCCGGTAAGGGATAGTTTAACAAAGTATGGGAATGGCTAAAATGGAAATATGTTCATCACATTAGGGCCACCCTGCACCCTAGTTCAAGAACACTTTCTTGGGGAAATTTCAGATATATGTTCATTCTAAAAAGGAGATGTGTGAAAGGCCTGTCAGTAGGGCTGGCATCGGGGCAGACACAGTTGGGCCCAAACCCAATGACAAGAGCACACTGAGGTGTCTTCCTTCTCTTCACCACTGTACCTTGCTTATTTGCCAGACTCTGATTTTGTCCCAGTCAATGGAAGTGGTAAGAAAAGGAGGAGATTCCACCGCCAGCTTGCTCGCTTATTCTATGCCAGTTGAGTAAGCAAGAATAGCCACAGCAGCTGCCAAAATGGCAGGGAGAATGCGGACTCACCGCAGGGAGAGCCTGATGAGGGTGTCTTGCCCAAGGGCCCTCTGAACCCTGAAGCCATCACCATCTGCTTGGTACGATCTTAGCTTTGCATCATCGTATTAACACTGGCTTTTTAAAAAGACACTAAGTATAAAAAACTATGGAAGGTGACTTGTGCTTTCATTTGATCTCTGCTAACTCCAAAAAGAAACTGCAAATGAAAAATGGTGGTTGTGCTTGAAATGAGTAGTCAGTTAACTGTTGGTTAACGATACATTGTTCTTTAGTAACTGAAAAAGAAAATCATCTCCCTCTGGTCCCAAAAAGTAGTTTAAACAGAATAGTTCTACCACAGCATTGCTCTTACACACTTTGGGTGAAAACAGACATTACCTTAAATCCATTTTATCAATTTTACTGTAGAATAAGCATGAGCAGGGAGCAGATCTGTATAGGCAGAGGAGGAGAGGGAAGATGAAAGTCCCCTGTGAGCACACTAGGGGCCTGATCCAGCTCTCCCCTACCACTTATTCTAGGGTAAAAATGAGGGGAAAGAGAAAGCTGTTATATGTGAATTTGATGCAAAGTCTGCATTAGTCCTTCAATATGACATTGCACTGCATTACAAGTATGCATCCAGGGAAGACCACTCAGTCCCAGCTCTAGTCACTGTCTGCCCTTAGCATTCACCTTCTTTTCCAAGACAAGCACAAGCAGTTCTCTTACAGCCCTGCTTTGGTGAGTATGTGGGTGACTTCCCTGCTGCCTCCATGTGCCTTCCAAGTCCCAGGTAAAAAGAGGTGATCTACCAGCTTCCCCTGCAGGGGCTGCCCCACGCAAGGACTGAGCTTGCATCCCAGCTTGTCCTGATGGGATGACAGGGTGTGATAAAAAACCATTTTGGTTGAGCCTGTACAGTTAGGTGAACCATACACACTTCTCAGTGGGATGGGACTGCCTTACTGGAAAGGGGTCCCACACCAGTGGATGTGTGCTTGCACATGAAGGCAGCCAGACAGACAACCTGATGCCAGCAATGTACAGCTGCTTGGGCTACAAGGGATCAGAAAGAAAGAGGGAGTGAGGCAGGCACAAGCACCTGCATGGGATTTCCAAATCTGCCTCTGTGGGCCTTCAGACACCAACTTTAACTCACCAGAGATAACCCATGCATTATAAACTATTTAAAAAAAACTTTAAAGAACATAGCTGAAGGTGCTGCTCACCTGAATCCACTCCATCATCATCTTCATTTTCAATTGGCTGAATCATACGATCTCTGTAAAACTAGAAAACAAATGAGAATTGATCATATTGCACCTTGTGCTCTGTCATAACTGTGCTGGGGAAAATCAAAACAGAGTGATATGTCTTTTTCAAAAGCATGGATACACTTGCCATATTTCAATATATAACTTTTATTTCCAAAATGTCAAACAAAATTGTTGACACAGATTGAAGAGAGACCATTCTCTCAGCAAGATTCAGTCCAATTTTCCCAAACAACAATCATAAGCTTTATAATATCTCAACAGTTGATGGCTCATCCACTATTTTAGGCTACTGGGAATTTTATATTTCAAATAAGGCCAAGAAGACAACAACCTGTCCAAAACAGATATATTTTATCCTGTCCATGTCTATTCTTTAAGAAGCCCCATACAAAGAAGCAACACTCCCAGAAGCTGTAGGTCAACCATCTGCAATTCTCTTTAAAATACAGAGGAGCAGTCAGCACAGATCACAGGTGCTCAGAGCCATCTGTTCTCCTTTTTGGCAGATTCATTCCCTGATGTGATTTAGATACTTAGGTGCATGCCCATGAAACACTCTCATAGTTTGGCCTGATTATACCCATGCTTGTGCTGGTTAGCAGGGCCCAGAGCAAAAGGCTCAGACATGTACGACATGCTAAAGTAAGGGACAGGGGCCATAATTCACTGAACAAGTACATGCTTAGCAATGAAGAAGGCTTCAGGTTCTAAAGTAGCAGGAAAGTTGGAAAAGGCTTTCAGCTAAGACCTCAGAGTGCCTGTTGGGCAAGAAGGATCAACAGTCCTAGTCTTCATGTAGTAGACCATGTAGCCCACTATGCGAAGATTGGATGGGAGAAGGTAGATTGGGCTCTACTGGTAGATCTATAAATGATTTGCAATAGATTGACTAGGATTACCGATTCCACATTGTTCAACAACAAAATAACTCCCCTCCCCAACCGTCCTTTAATTATTCTGCTGCTGCTTTTTAAAAAAAAAATCTTGGAACAAGTACAGAAAGTACTGCGTGGCAAGCATTAGCCAATATTATATTTGATTCTGGTAGGTGTTCAGATATCAAAGCAAAGGGTGTGGCATGGGAACCCCATTTGATTTTAGCAATTCATAAAGAAGTAACTGAAGCGTACCATCACATCTTCATTTTTAAGAGATGGCTCCTCAGATATCATGTCCACCAGATCTGCTCAAAGAAAAGGAACATTTCATTAGACTCTGGTTCCCAGCTGAGGAAGATAATTCTTCCCCCTCCTCATATACCACACACCAAAAGGGGAGATCAGAAGGAAATATCCAGGCCTGCATAATGTTCTTTTACCATATGCACTGCTCTCAAAGTAGCATGCTTGTGGTTGAAATACTAAATGGCTCTACAATAAGCTGTTGTGTTATTTTAAAGGGCTAATTGTAAGTGAGCCCTTTGTTTTAAAGGCCATTCTGAGAAACAGCTTGGTGAATCAAAGTGGCCTTACTAGCTAATGTGTTGTTGTCAAGCAGTGCAGGTTCTCACAGGCACGTGATAATGTACACATGATAGTGTAGATGAGATTTTGATTTGATTAAAAAAATGAGAAGGAGGAAGAAAGGCAATTTCATGCATTAAACACACTACCCTTTCCCTTTCACTACAGGGAACAATTGTGCTTATGTTATTATTTTGCTTCTTGGCTCCTTTACAAAACTCTGAAGGAAGGACACAGTGCACTAAATCCATATTTAATTCATTTTTCCCTGGTCACAGACAGTGCTGGTATTATGAAAGACGGGCATGAATATTCTGAGCCAAAGCACCTCACCCCACAACCTATGTGGTTAGCTAAAAGTAAATATTGTTGTCGAAGAGACTGAAACATTCTGTAGCTATTTCTTTTTAGCTGTACTTTACTTGTTCATTTTTGTATCAAGCCTTCTTACATGTGATGTAAATCTATATACAGCTTTACATTTGCATGGAAATGGCAGCTTCAGAAGTTATATACAAGCATGATGGAGGAAGCACAGATGAGCCACATGAGTCTTTTGGGCTTCCTTTTAACATCTAAGCATGATTCTGGTATCTGCTCACCAAAAGGTAGGACAAGACCCCTTTTGCACATTATACTAGAAGAATATACACAATTCTCTTGTAATCTGTCAGGAGGCTCCCACAAGCTACTGCTATGCACACGAAGCTAGTAAGACATGCACTTTATAAAAGAGGTGACCTTTTTAGCACTTTGGTCAGGAACTGTGTCTGATTTTTCAACCCTTGCTAGATTCATGATGCACATGAAATGTTGTATATGCAATGGTACCAGTGCGTTCCCTGCAATACAAATACTGCCTCAACTCCAAATATGCATCAAATTCTTGACCTGTGTACTTACAGCCAAATTTAACACTGGTGTCACAGGTAATTTTTCTCTAGTGCAGAGAAAGTTCCCGTTAGCCGCTGGCCTACAGCAGCCGCCAGTTTCAATGACAGACTGTTTATATTAACCCAGTAATCAAGCACAGAACTTTGGAATACTGCAGAATGACTCTAAATTCTGTACTGTCAAGGCAGGAATAGAGACCCATTGCACTATCTATATCTAGCCAACAGAATATTCATTATCCTCTTGCCTACGGAGGCTTCCATCTGCCTTCGATGCTAAGCATTTCACCTTTGCTTTCCCACATCTGGAGCCTGCAGGTGGCAGGCATGCTCAAGATGCAAGCAGGTTACCCACAATCACAATGAAAAAAATCACCATACATACTTCATCTGACAACGACAACATATTTAGATGCATTAACAAGACACCATTTCTTTTTATACCATTATCCACCAACTAGAAGATGAGGAAAAATGACAAGAGTCAGCTGGCAACATGATTATATATAGAAAGTGAGTCTGGCCATGATGGCAAAGTTTATATTAATGCCCAAAGAATGGTCTAATTAGTTCTTCTAAATATTTCCTAGAACATTCCCTGAACACTGAATTCTAAAGTGAACTTGTTATTTGCCATGGATGTGTTGCTAGGCTTTTCTCTTTAAAGGACTCATCTATCAAACAGATTTTGTTAATTAAAAGGTAATCAATGGTTCTTCAGCATCTTTTGATTTAAGAGTTAAGCAAGAATCACAGTTAAGGCAGAAAAAGCACTTACACTGACCTCTACCCCTGGAATGCACAAGCAAAACAAGAAATGAAGGAACTATGTTACTTGTGGAAACAATTGTTTAAAGGACTATCTTGGGAATATTTAAGGTTGCCATTCTATGCAGACTTACTAAGTGCTAAGACCCACTGAATTCAGTAAATGAAAGTTGTGGAGCATGACAGTTTCACATGGCCTATGCTTGGTGCTTTACAGAACTTAAAAGTATGAACATTCCTGTGAAAGTATGAAACATTACTATTTATTAATGGTTTTTCCTTACCTCCCACACTGTAAATTTTTGTTGCTATCCATCTTGATTAAGATAGATATCTCTGCAAGCCCACAGAAATGTGATGGAACTAACTGGCTTCACAAAAATGGAATTTTGGAAAAGATAGGAATGATCTTCACTGAATTAAAGAGGCATGCTCAAAATTAAAGCACTAAATACTTTAACTGCTAAAAACCTGCAACAATCATTCACCATATTCCAGAAAAATATTTCAGCAGAATTCTGCCCTCTTCTGGCACTTTCAAATGAATGACAAATGGTTACCACTAAGTCAAAATAGCGTCACTCTACCTTCATACTTCATTCATGACAAATGCAACTTGCACTGACTTCTGCATAGGACTGCAACCAGATCAACTGAACCAAACAGTATTACACAAAGACCTCTCAGCTGAACAAATCCTCAGCAGGAAAAGGAAGGCAATATGCTAACTATTTTCCCCCAGACATGGTTCAAGGCTTTACTCATGCAGGATGGGGCATGTAACAGCTGGGTGGAGAAAAGGGCAACTCGTCTAAGCCAGGAGATTCTTTCCCTTTCCATCTCACAGTTTTTTGTTCATAAAGCAGGATTATCTGCATGCAGAACCATTTTATATCTACCAATCCAGGGTTTGGGGTGGGGGGGGGTGTCAAAACTGCAGCAGTTTGTCTCCATAACACATGCTTCTTCCTCTCTGCCTTACCTTCTCTGGGTTAACACCTGACATAACGTTCAGCAGAGCCCGTGTGCTTACGTATCCATGTGGAAGGAAACTCTGAGGCCCCCAACACTTTCATTTTCTCCAGGCCCTGTTAGCCTCCTGGGACTGGGGCCATTGTTTTAAAGTCCTGAGTTATATCACAGCCTTTGAGAACGGTAAAGTTTCAGAAATGTTAATTTTCTGTCAAGGAGTTGGTTTTAATGAAGCTTTTTAGAATGGTTTTTAGCATATCAGTGTTCAAAGTATTTGAAGTGCTTATCTCATTTTCCCCCCTCACAACAATTCTGCAGATAGAAGAGACAATCATTTCGTTATTCCACGCTGCTCAGCTGAACATAATTATTGTAACATATTTGGGAAATTTTTGTATAGCGGATTGCACAGAAAGCGAATGCTATTTCAGTGGATTTTAACACATGTAATGTGGCAATGGATTGCGGACTGAAAAACTATACCTTCTACAGAAGTTGTAGGGTTGCAAGGCATCTGTACGTCTCCCAGTGTCTCAGCATGCTTTGGGGGAAGATTCTTAAAAATAAAAACAAAATATCTGTTGCGCTACCTTAGAGATCAAACAATTAATATCTTCAATGAAACATTCACAAAATAAACTCAGACAGTGCTTGAACATGCTATAAAGTCGTCATTATTTCAAGGGTTGGTTTCCTTCACAGCTGGTACATCATGCGTGCTGGCAGTGAGCAGAGCCGGGCAGGCAGTGGGCAAGCACACAGCCAAAGGGTGGTGGGTCTTAAGATTACGCCAGAATAAATGCGTTAGTCTTTTAAATGTCAGAAGACCTTTCCTAACAAGTATTCTTTCCTAATCTGCCATATGTAACAGATGGTATGACTGGGATCCTGCACCAACAGGGCTGAACTTGATGGCTTTCTTGGCCCCTTGTAACCCATCTGTTCTGTGCTTTCATATCATTGAATCCTCTCATGTTTGGGAGGTTTTGCATTTAAAAATAAAACATGATTGTGCCGGCTTGCTTTGCCAATTGCCTACTTTTATGCATGTGTTAAATATGATAGCACTGTAGTCACTGCTTTCACCCGATTCAAGAACATTTATGGCATACTATGTCATGGGCATAGGATTGAGTCCAAGACTGCCTCTCCCTGGTTGGTTCCACTGGGCAAAACCTGATAGGGTATTTCAGAACCATTATCTGTTTGTTGTGATCAGAACATGCATGTATCCAGTCTATATGAGGATAACTGAAGTCACACAGCCCTACAAAACATTCTCCAGTGGATGCCTCCCTGCTTTCGTTCTCCATTTGAATATCGCCCTAACCATCTTAGCTGAGGGGACAATAAGCCATTAACTTACTTTTGGAGCCACCTGATATGGCCCTTCACTGCAGTTCTATAGAGGTGTTTTCCTCATTCAAGATTTCCAACTTGACTGTATGCCCTCTGTCATAAAGAGAAATGCTGCCCCCAGAATGCTCGTCTCTGTCCTGCTTACATAATCTATATCAGAGATAGCAATTCTGCTAGTTGGATTCCATTGAAAACCAAGCACTCCAATTCTCCCATCTTGTCTTGGAGGCTTCTTGTATTAGCATATACACACCTATACCTGGTATTCTTCCTCAATGTCTCTGGTACATGCATTATTCCCATATGGGCTTTTGTCCTCTTTGGCTATCATGTCCTACTGAACAGTCATTGACTGTATCCCATCCTTATTTAGATGGTCAGGAACATTTTCAGTATCGTCTCCTGGTGATGATTCATCCCAGACTGGATGTTCCCCAGCTCCTATCAGCTTTCCTCCGGAGGTCAGTTTAATCTTCGGCAGTTACACGAACGTCTTGTTTATAGCTTTTCTGCAAAATTCTGAATAGCCTGTGTGACTAGTCTGCCCAGGACATCCTGTTTATTATATGGACTCTTTTAGACATTTCCTACAAATTCTCTTGCACTGTAGTGTAGAGGTCACACTGCTGGGTCAGGCATAATCCAGCTTCTTTTCCATCTTTCATTATGCACAAAGCACTTCTTAATTCTACATTAGGACAATTTTCATTTAATTTGCATATAAATGCCTTTTCATTACAGCAGCAGCAATTTCAGTTAGAATGTATACATTTGCCAATGGCTGGGCTCACCACCCCCCCTCATGGGTCAGTCCCGTGCCATGTGGTATGCCTAACTACCCACATGGCGCACAGCTTCCTGTGCCGTCTGGACCATGTGAGGAATGCCTTTGGGTTCTAGGGTAGCTTAGAAGCCACCCCACCTCACAGCTTGCTGGGTTTAGATGATACAGGAAACTGTACACTGTAAGGGTAATTAGGCAAACTGTGCGGCACACAACCAGCATGTGGGGAAGCAGGGAAAGATTACAGGTATGCTATGGAGGTGAAAGGAGCACACAGGTGAAGGTTTCCTCCATGCTTCTCCCCTCCTGAAAAACTGATTTGGCCATCTGAGTGTTTTGCCCCAGAGCATGACTGGAGGAGGCTGCAGCATGTCCAGGATACTATACAAGCTGGCAGACCCTATCTCCTCCCCTACCCATTCCTTGGAACACCCACACAATACCATCTCAAAGGCTGCTATTGTGACCTCAGAGCTGCAGCTGAAGAGAGGGTGCTCTGAGTCTGGAGTTTCAGCTCCGACCTCAGAGCAAGTTTCTGAAGTCAGAGCTGGAATTCTGAATAATCATATTTGCCATCTAGACCTTCTCTAGCAGCTAAGAAATTGTGCCTTTAGATAGATTTGTATGTAAATATGAACCACACTAAATGTTCCCATTCCTGTTTTTAGCTTAGTTATAACAACAAACCAGTTTTACAATATTTCCCATGGTATCCAGGGAAATTACAGGCCAGTTAGCTTAACATCTGTTCTGAGTAAACTGCTTGAAAGCATTATTAAGGTTAGAAAAAGTAAGCAAGTCCTGCTGGAGGGACAGGAGGACAGGGGGGAGTTCAGCATGACTTCCACAAGAGGAAGTCTTGTTTCACTAACCTCTTGGAGTTCTTTGAGAGCATCAATAAACATGTAGAAAGAGGTGATCCAGTAGACATTGTTTACTTCAGCTTTCAAAAGGTTTTTGACTAAATCCCTCACCTAAGGCTCTTGAGCAAACTAAGCAGTAATGGAATAAAAGGTTGGGGGTCCTTTTATGGATCACCAACTGGTTAAATAATAGGTACAGTAATCCATGCTGGAGCAAAAAAATCCAACTTCAAGTACATACTGCTTGGATCCGAGTTAGCAGTGACTGAGCAAGAAGAGGATCTTGGGTAGTAGTAAAAGTTCAATGAAAATGTTGGCTCAGTGCACAACTCCTGTTGAAAGAGGCAAACTCCATGCTAGGCATAATAAATGGAAAACAGAACTGCCAAAATCTTATTCTCCTTAAACAAATCTTTGGTATAACCATACTTGGGATATTGTGTTCAGTTCTGGCTGCCTTACCTGAAAAGGGACATTATTGAGTTGGAAAAAGTACAGAGAAGGGCAACAAGAAAGAACAGAGGGCTGGAGCACCTCCCCAGTGAGAAGTGGCTGTAACAACTGAGGCTATTTAGAAAAAAGGCAAGTAAAGGGAGACATGATAGAGGTATTCAAAGTAATGCATGGTGTGCAGAAAGTGGTGAGGAACACTCAAACCTGGGGTCATCCAATGAAGGGGAGGTTTAGGACAGATAAAAGGAAGCACTTCTTCACACAGGATATATGGAACTCGCTTCCACAGGAAGTAATCAATCTGGATGGCTTTAAAGGGCGATTGGACAAATTCGTGAGGGAGGGGGATATCAGTGACTCATAGCCTTCAGGCTGTGTTCTCCCTCCTGTGTCAGAGGTGCATGCCTGAATGCAGCAGCTGCTGAGGAGCTTGGGTAAGAGGAGGTCTTGAGCCCATCCTCCCTGAGGGATCCTGTGGGCAGCTGGTTTGCCACCCTGTGTACAGAATGCTAGACTAGATCCAGTGTGGCTCTTCTCATGTTTTCATCCCAATATTTTCTGCATCTAATCTAATAAAACAATGTAACTTGAAATGTGTATTAATATCTATTCCAAATTGAAAGATTTGTGGCAGCAAATAAATTGTAATGAAGCAATAATAGGTACAGTTGAAAGAAAATTAAGGCATTCTTCAGCTCTATTGAAAGCAGTGCAACTTGATTGCCTGTTTTTACTAAGGGTGCTTTCAGGTAAGATTTCTATTGTGCAATTGTATTTTCTCATTCACATGATTTTACAGGGACTCCAGATGTCATCATCTTCCATTTGAAGCCCTCTTGTGTTTTCCCACCACTTCTTCCTTTGTGTGCATGTTATTTATGTCTCACCACAAACATTCCATTAAGGAAGAACTGAGATTATGTCCTGCTTTTTGCTGACTAGTGCTACAAGCTCTTTTTCCAGAAACACCCTGAGTATCATCAGCATCCCTGGGAATTAAGTTACCCAGTCCAGATCTCCTCAAGGCTAAGTGGCATCCTGGCTGAAGAGTACCTTTGGTGGTCCAGGAATCAATTTACACTTTCTTTTTCTATGATTTATTGTGTTTGTGCTATTTGTAACGCTTATAGTGCTATGAAACTGAACACTGGAAACTAATGGGAGTGTTTGTTTTTTTATTTAGGACCCAAATAACCTGTAGAACCTGTGGAACGTTTTTTGAGGTGGGGGTTGGGAAGCGAGAGGAGATTAGAGATTCTTTTTTCCCCTTGTCTTTTCCCCCATGCTCACTGCACTCTGTACACTGAGAAACAACGAGTCATTCAACCTACCCCGTCTTCAGCCTGGCACCCAGGCAAGTGCCCAGTTTGCCCACACCCAGGGCTGGCCCTGCACCTACTTTTTATGGTTTTTGCCCAATAGGCAAAATTGCCCCTCCTATTATGCAGGTGACTGATTCTGGGTTTCTTGAAAGCGCAGCAGTCTCTTAGCTATTTAATACAAAAACTGCTACTACTGCAACATTATTTATTTACTTGCTACTTAAAAAATAAAAGACACTTGGGGTGGGGCTAGTACCAAAGCGATCTGGGGCTCAGGTCCACAGGAACAGACTGTCTTTAAAGGCACCTGCTTCCTAAGGACACCCCGGGGATATATAGGCAGGGTAAAGGAGGGCATTTGACGCTAGAAAAAAGGCAGACATATTCAGGGGGCTGCAGGAGGTGAAGCGCATGGAGGCAAAAATCCAGCTACTCCAGAAGGATCAGAAATCACCAGGGCTCCTGCATCTTTACTTCAGCAAGTGCCTGTGGATGGTGAGTTCATGAGGCAAATGGCTTCCCAGGGATTCAGGGCTCCAAATGAGACTCACAGCTCCGGCCCTGGTGAGCTGGCTGTCACAAGTGCTGCCTCTGAATGCACTTGTGGGACTTTCTGGCTCGCACAGGCTAGCCTCGGGCACTCTGCACCTTGACCAGGTGGTGCAGGGGCTCGGTGCAGATACCATTTGCTGCTCTGCCTCAGGCAGCAAAAAGTCTTTGGCCAGCTTTTCTAATAGTTCACATGGAGTTTTATGTTCATTTTTTTGCTCTGCAGTGCAATCCTTATTTTATCTATCCATCCATCCACTCAGAAGTAAGTTTCAGGGAAAATTATACCAGACTTTAAGATAGATTATACAACTTTTAAAGCCATCAAATACATGTGTATAGCTGTTAATGTTCTACACCCTCTTTTTGATGAATAAAGCTGCTGTCACGGGAGGGACAACAGATAAGCAATCCTGTTCTGCAGGATGACACTTGAAAGGCAAACAGATTTATGATGTAATTGCTCACTGAGCAGAGCATACTCAAGTTCTATTATGTCACAATAAATGTGACAGTGCTTTAGGTGCCACAAGACTCTTATCTTCTGTATTACTCAAAGCTCTGACTATTTTCAAAGTTTTCACCAAAGGAAAAACAACTGAACATGAGAAGACAACTATTTGCAAAAAGAAAAATACACTTCTTTGTATTGTAGTTTGGCACTTACCTTGTGCAAAAAAGCTCTATCCCAGAAGTATTTCCTGAACAGCTGAACATCAGATTCTAGCAAATGATCTGCCGTGTGATTACAGGTCAGTGACAGAATTCCTGATGAATGAGCAAACTGTAGGGCAGCATCTTCTCCGAGCAACACCTTAGAGATCTCAAATGGATGGCTGACCTGCTTTCTGTAAAAAGACATCCACTAGAATGAGGTAAGAGCACAGAAACCATGAATTGCAGACCTAAGAGCTCCTCATCCATGCTCTTTCAAATTTTAACCTGCCTTTTGCAGAACTTTCAGACAAAAATGGCATAAAAGATTGACAAGAGACATGCTTTTTCAAGATTATTTTTAAAGCACAAACATTAGAACAAGTAGAAGAGAAAAAAATAATTGGTATCTAAAACTTGTTCTTCTATTATTTTGTAAAAGATGCAGCCCATTTAAAAGCAAACCTTCTACAGCAGTCAAAAAGAAACAGCAGCTAGCAGACTTATTAGCATAAGGCAGCACAAAACAGAAAATCTCAAGGGAGTTGTGCATTGTCTGAGTGTTCCAAACAAGTGTGACTTTCATAACATATGAAATAACAGAGTTGAGCCATTTTTCTCATGCAAATGAAAGCATGCAGCAATTTTCAAACAAACTCTGTGTTGTTCAAAACTAGAAATAGATGAGGAATATGGCTCAACAGGGGGCAATAACGACATTGTTTTTCTCATTTCTCATTTGGCTTCTCTACTTTGGATGTTTATAAAATTAAAGTTATACTGTGCCTTTCCATGAAAAATATTGCTCAAGGTGACTGACAATAAAATATGGATAAAAGAACAAAGTTGCAATTAAGCACATTAAAACTCATGCAATAAAAACACAGGCGTGAGAAGGAATAGCAGCATACCTTGCTGACTGTGTCATGTAACAATTTAGCACTGCAGGACAAAGGCAAGTAGGAGGCAACACAAAATCTAAGCAACATTAGTGAACCTCTGATACTATGCAGGAAGTGGAGTCTCCAAGGCCTTCAGAGTTATTCTTTCCCAATGTGTTTTGAAAGCTATCAAGATCTGATAGGAAAGCAACCCAGGTAAGGAAAGTGAAAAAGAGACTAATAACTAAGCTGCCGACAGATGAAGGTTATAGAAGACAATGGGACCGGCTAGCAGAGACTGTGCTAGTCTGTTGCAACAAAAGCGACAAAGAGTCTTATACTTCCTTAAAGCAGGACAGGGTAGAAGGTAGGTCAGGATTTGCTGACAGGTTCCTGGAGTATTTACAGTAGATTAACAAGGGTTTTGCTGCAGCACTAAAATGACTCACACTCCCAAATTATGCTGCTGAAATTAAGGCAATTTGGGGAAAGGTGTGATTATTGTGTGGAAGGGCTGAAAGCAACATGCAGTTCTAATTTTCAGAACAAATTCTTGGGCCCAGAATTCTTTAAATCTAAGTGTACATTTTTTCCCCATAAGCTAACAAAATAGATCTTGGATTTCTAATTGAAAACAAAGCAGACTCCACAGCTTGCAGTTGGCCCACTCCTGGCATAAAAAACAAAACATTTTGGCATAAGTTTTTGTGGAGCTAAAAAGAACAAGGGCCATAATCCTAAGCCTATTTAGGCAAAAAAGGTCCTACAACTCCCAGCCTGCTCCAACCAGCCATACAAGTTAGTGAGTGCTGAGAGTTATAGGAGTTATTTCCATCTAAACATACGTAAGATTGCACCTTAAGTCCTGATCTTGAAAAATTGCACCTTAAGTCCTGATCTTGAAAAATCCAAAACAGCTGCTTAGAAAAACTAGATTTTCAAGTGAAATGGGTGCAGCCAAACATTTTGCTAGAGGGGTTATACTAATGTTTAACTCATTTTGGATTGTAATTGATAAATAAAAGACACTGTGAAAAGGAGTTGAGATTAAACTGTTCCCAATGTCCAGCACAGGGATTAAGTGTAGCCACAGATAATTGTTTGACTTAATTACTGTGAGAAACTTGTAGGGCCTCAGTGACCATATAAGATCACCAAAGACCAGGTGCTGCAAGTTCCTCATTGGGCATCCTAAAGATATGGATGTTAACACACCCTTTTGCTGAAGTTCATTGGATTGCTGGGCTTCCTCTTCCCCTTCCCCCTTGTCTCCCAGGAAGAGGAGGTAGCTTGTTTAAGTATACTGACAGTCAGAGGGAGAGAACAACTGAATAAAATCCATGGCAAGAAGCATTATTTTTTGTCTTTCTACTTGGAATGTCCAAATAACTAGTGCCCCAGGAGCAGCATCCGCCTCAATAGGAAAGCCCCGTGACTAAACCTTTCTTTTGCTTCTGTACTGATAATCTGCACCATTTCTCACCACTCTATGTATTCAACAAACTACATAATCTTTGTTTTTTCCTAAGTATCCTTGATTCTGAAGAGATGCGCATTGGCTGAACCAGGCCCCCGAGATTAAAACACATTTGACTCTCCTTTAGCAGGCTATCTTCCTTGTCAGTTTTACATTGTGAGAAGGCTGGATATTACCCCATTCCCTTCATAAACTTGACTGATGCTATCATTTACCTCAGGATCTTAGAATATGCCAGGTTTCACAAATAAATAATAACTCCACAAGAGGTCCAAATATTAGCTTACATTTTATAATGAAGCTCTAGGAAGTGAATAACACAGTATTGAACTCCTATGGGGCAGTTCTAGTTTAACGTCTCCATTAGAAAAATCCCATAAAATAGTAGAGATATACATGAAAGCCGACATATAATTTGGTTCTTAGCATTAAAGTATCACATTAAGCCAGGGAACTTACTTGGAGAAAATGTCAGCAAGTCTGAAATGTCCGTTCTGTAAGGCCAAGTCCAATGGTGTCAACCCATCTTCATTAGGCAGAGTGATTGCAATTGTCCCACCTGGTTGGAATAACAGGAACTGGGAAAGCTGAACCAAACCAAATCTCATTGTGAGATGGAGAATGGTTTCTTTATGTATAGTATCTAAAATAAAAGACACACATGGATGTATTAAAAATCAACTACATAGTTTTTATAGTCTCTATGTATGCTAGAATGTAACAATATTCCATTTAAGAGTAGTTACAAATAACTCCAAAATAAAAGCCACTTCTATAGAATCCCAAAGTCCTACTGCAATCCTACTATGGTGAAGAGCCAGTGTACAGTTCAGTCCTCCATTCTTGAGCTTACTGCTCATTTCAACATATATCACATTCTTATGGCTACTGTCTATGGGGCTGTATTCAATTGGTGTCCCTTTGCTGATGAGAGGCTTTTGTATCCAGTCAAGGATTCCAACAGTGGATTGTGGAGGGAGACCATTATTGATCCATTGCATTCTCCACCTCACAACCTGTTTTGAAGATTCACCAAACCCTCTAAATAATATTTGGAGGCAAGGAAGATAGGAGGCTTCAGAGGAGAGGAAGAATCACCCCAAGTTGTCCCCCTCCTACTGACAGAGCCTTCTTCTAGATCAAGTAGCAAATGTTAGTGGAGGGACACCAAGGCAGTACAAATTCTTTGTGCCTAATATCCTCAAGGTTTGGTGAACGATATTCAGAACCTGAATAGCCTCCCATCTCAATTCTGTGGCTGAATATACTGATGCATAATTATTTGCTTCTCTTCTTCAAGTATATCAAGAGTCTCTGTATTCCTGCCCTTTCCCTTTCCCATTGGTTTGCCAGTCCTAGCTTAAGAGATTACTAAATTGCATACATCAGAAAAACCACTGTGACATCATTTTAAAAGCACCATGCTATTCAGAGTTTCAAGACATTGCCTTGAAAGAACTCGTTGCCTTCTTTGCACTTCACATTTTTTCAGCATGTACAAGGTAGGTCAATCCACATGATCTACAATGCTTAAGTGGTATAACAAGTGGTCATCTTGCTCTAAGAAGAAGCTACCTTTTCTGAAGGGGTGGGAGAATATTTTTATGAATTCCAATGCAAATTAAGATTAATGATAAAATTCCTTTTCCCACAAAAACATAAGGTGAGTTAGAAAAAGCAACATCTACTAGAACAGCTCAGATTGCTGGAATGCCTTGTTGCCCATGAACAAAACTCTCCTCACAAACAGTCTGAATTCACATGCTATGAACACCTATTATGGGTAGCAACTAACATTGGGGTGAGCAAGCCCAGTATTATCTAAGGGAAAGGAAACTTAGAGAAAAGATGACAAGAATGGCCAATGGAAGAGAAGGAGAAAGAAGCAGCATGTCCCAGGCAAACATTCAATTGTGCCCATTCTTCATTCTTTGCACTTCCAAGACTCCCACTCATTTCAGTGGGAGTTTGGGACTCCAATAACTCTAGGATGCGATCCTTAACTGGAGTCCATTGTATTTTCACTGCATTTGTTCAGAATGCTTCCTTTTTCCTCATTATAAAACTGCACTATGTTCATTGTTCATAAAACAAAAAGACTACTCATTTATTACAGTGAAAATGTCCATGTCAACATTAGCTGGCAACTCAATACTATTTTCCCTAATCTCCCTCACTCTGCTCAGTCTTCAACCAAATTAGCTTGGTTGTCTTTGTTCTGTATGCATAGTAACTAACCCTTGGACTTGTCTTTGATCTCTCCCTGGGGGTCTAAGCCACATGAGATTATTCCTGCATTTTGCTTGACTCTTGCAGCTACAATAATGCCACACTTATTTTCAGTGTAAAATCGGGAATGCCAAAGTGGCACTGGACAGCATTAGTGCACCAGGAGGTTCTTTCCAGTTCGCCTTTTCTCTTTCTGTGCCCTTTGAGCATCCCACTTGCAAGCATGGTCTGGGGCTCAGGCAGTAACTAGAAGAGCACACACAGCCTTACACACAGTCTTGCGTCAAGGCACTGAAACTCCCCTAGGGCTGGATGCTTCACCCCAAGACCTGCTCTGAAATCAGGAGCATAGCACAGGCTAATGGGATCCATCTTTGTGGATATGCTGTATAGAACAACTTCAGCATGGAAAAAAACAAAGATGTTTAAGGGAAGGTGCATGTTTAAGTGAAGCATTGTATGATCAGTCCTCCCTTTACTAAGGGTGCACAGTATCAATTTAGCTATGGCAGCCTCCATGGGAAAAGACTAATTTGAAATAGGGAGCTCTCTGCAGAATGCCCTTTCTTGGGAAATCTGCCTGGCACCTTTAGAACAGACATTTAATTGTTCATCTTTTCTTAATTTTCTTTTTTTGGGGGGATCCTCAAAGTTTTCAATGTTTGATATTAGTTTTATATTTTATTGTTGTATTATATGTTGCTGCATGAGCTGCTACGTTGTTGTCATTGTTGTTTGGTTTAAAGATTGTAATTTGCTCCAAGGTTAATAGAACACAAATCTATTAACTGAGGGTGCAATTCTATGAAAGTTCAGACAGCAAAAAGATCTAGAAGTTACAACATAGCTGGCTGCAGCATGCAGGCAGCTGTAGGCCTATTTGCTGCACAGAATTGTACCTTAAGCAAGCAATCCTACGGCACCTGGATCGTGTCTGAGGAATCTTGGGAATCCTTCGGATTCTAAGATACAAGTTTGGAGACAGTGCTCTAAACCTGGAGAGGGAAACCACTGGAATCTCACAAGCAGCACAGAAATAACACGATGTCAGAGATGGGGGGCGGGAGGAGTATTCTGGTCGGAGGGGAAGGAGGGAGACTGGAGAAGCCAAGACAAAAACTGGTCTTGGGCATCTTCAGCCTACTTCCCTACCCTCCAAAATGCCTTTGCTATATGGCAAAAGACCCATCTAATTAAAATGTGGAGCACAGGGACAAGGAGGCAGAGATCAACTCTGCCACTTCTTCCACCCTGCACTGCATGCTCATAAGCCTCCAGAGATTTGCACCCCAATTAAAACTCACTTGAATACTGCTGTATTTCTATCATGGGTCATTGACAATTCATATATTTCTGCATCTACCTATGTCTGAGTTTTGATGTACTAAGATGATTAACACTTCAAAAACAAAAGCAATCTCAATACATAAGGTGTTGGGCAATGAACAAGTCTGTTCAGTCAGGGATTGCAAATATATTCTGAGCTTTTCTGGAGATGAATAGCGTATTGATGAGTTTTGCAGGTCTTCCAATTATATGATGGAGCAGTTCCTCAGCTAATATAAGCAAATACAGATACCAACAATGAGGGTGTCCCACTTGCAGCTGGAAATTCAAATGCCACCCTGTGAAATAAGCTGGCAAATGACCCTGCAACCAATGCTGTAGGTATATACTGTGATGCACAGAAACACTGACGTCACAAACATAGTGAATGGGAAATGAATGAACAAATTCACTCTGATCCACCCTGACTAGTCAACAACACTTTCCCATTGGCAGTTTGCCACTGCCTTTCCAAGTAGATCAGTGTGCCATTGTAAAGCAAGCCAGATAAAAGCTGAAGTCAAATAAGGTTAGGTCCTATGTATAGAATGTTTCCTATGAACATCAAAAATGCAATTTAAATAATCAAGCAGACAAGATATTCCAGCCAAACAGAACCTATTCCCAACATTTAGATATCAGAATGAATAAAGTGGCATTCCTAAAAGAACTACCTCAAAATTAACATAACACCAATGACTTCTTAGTCTCCATATTGCTTGCACTTCAGTCATGTATTCTTGGGGAGCTACAAGAAACCATAATGAACACTGGGTTTCATAACTTTATCCCACTATTGAGGAAACCTGGAGCAACCAAGCATTGATTTACAGTCTCCCAAAAGGCCTCTGGGCTACTCCACTTCCCTCGGGGCCACTCTAAACCATCTAGGCACCATTACAAACTCCAAGACAGAAGAACAGTAATACAAGTGGTTTAGACATGGTATTTATGAAGAAACAACACCATGCTCAGAAGCCTTTCAAGTAAATGGTAAATGGTAAAAGATGGGCATCCCACCAAGACAGATTTCATTATCATACATATTCATTAGTTGCCAACTTGAAGAATAAGAATTGTCACTGCAGTTGCTAAGAGTTTGCATGAAAATGTACTTCAAAGTTGGCTGGAAAATGCAATCCAGGGAGATACTGGCTAATGTCTTTGTGATAATCATGTCCCTGTCCCTACAGCTACTCACGCCCTGCTGTCACTTTGCAGGCCACAAAGTCATGCTTTTGTATCTCAAAACTTTAAGGCCTGCAATCTTCACTTTGGTGAAAGCTGAGGGGTTTGGTGGAACTCCCTCACCTCCATACCCTACATTGCTGGATTCTCAGGAACCCAAAAAATACTTAGTAAAGATATTGCCATATATCTGTGATTTTGTCCTAGCTACTTCAATAATCTCTACAGATGCGTTATTCACAACTGTGCCTGCCACAGTTTTCATGAAAATATGGGGAGGGCATTGGGTGGAAGTGGCATGAATCTAAAGTGTTAGAGAAAGCAAATATGGACACACACTCAGTAAACATCCCATGTATGGAGACAGAGCTCCACAAATGTTGGCTTGCTATACGCCTGTCTCCCCAGAGAGGAAATGGGCTGGCTTTTCCATGCTTGAGGCCCAGCACAAATAGGGCTGGGGGGGGGGGTGAACTCTTCACTTCCTCTCAATTCTCAACTGGGAAGGAAAATGTCAATTTGTGGCTGATGCACCGCACCTCAAACTCAGGAAATTTGAGTATCTGAGAGTCTGTCAAAGACCCTGTCTCCAAACCTCAAGAGACACTCCAGATGCCTGGCAAAGTGAAGCACCACAAAGCACTGAGATGGCCAAAGTCAGTGCGACTAAAGGGAAACTTCCCACCTTTCTCTAGGCTCAGAAAAGTGGAGGCTCTCCTAGAGGCTCCAGATCTTGCCGAAACAAAAGATATGAATACAAATTAGCATGCGGGCAAATACATTTGAGGACTCTTGCATGGAGGTATAATCACAGTAACCTCCTCATTCAGTGGCAATGAAGATAAGAAGGGTATGAAAAATGAAAGGAGGTTAATGAAGGACCTTTCACTTACTGTCCAA